CTCAGTGGTGCGTTGTTCCAGTGGAGTAGAAACAAACTGCTAGTAGGTCAGGTGTGGTGGTTCATACCGGTAATCACAGCACTTTGGGAGACCCAGCCTGGGGTGTGACTTGAGGTCAGGAGTTCGAGACCAGCCTGGCCAACAGGGTGAAATCCCATCTCTATTAAAAATACAAAAATTAGCTGGGCATGGTGGTGCACATCTGTAGTCCCAGCTACTTGGGAGGCTGACGCAGGAGGCTCAGGAGAATTGCTTGAACCCAGGAGGAAGAGGCAGTGGCAGTGAGCTGAGATCTCGAGATCTCGCCACTGCACTCCAGCCTGAGCCACAGAGTGAGACTCAATCTCAAAGAAAAAAAAAAAAAAAGAAACTGCTAAGGTTCAAATCCTACAAATTCCAGTTACTGTGCGAACTTAGATATCATACCTAACCTCCTAGGTCTCCGCTGCCTCATCTGCAAAGTGAGGATGATAACAACAGTGCCTCCTGTGCTGTTGTGAAGATTAAATGAGTAAATATAAGCCAAGAGCTCAGAATAGTGTCTGACACACAGCAACTGTCTCATCATGTTCTATACCAGGCAGCTGACCCAGTACTGAGGATAAAATCAATGTATACTGAGCAAATCCATGAGTCTGGTGGGGCTGCAATAATTAGCTCTATTTCATAGATGAAAAGCTTGAAGCTCGGGGAGGCAGTATGAATTAGAGCAGCAGGAGGAGGCATTAACTAAGCACCTACTATGTGCAGGGCCATGTTGGCTGCTTTGTTTATGTGATCTCACCTCACCTTAGAACAGTCCATTTGTAGAGGCAGGTGACTCATCAGAAGTCACACAGCTGGCCAGCCGCACTGGCTCAGGCCTGTTATCCCAGCACTTTGCAGGAGGAGGGGTCACTTGAGACCAGGAGTTCCAGACCAGCCTAGGCAGCATAGCAAGTCCCCTGTGTCTCCCAAAAAATACAAAAATTAGTTAGGTGATGGTATACATCTGAGGTCCCAGCTACTTGGAAAGCTGAGGCAGAATTGCTTGAGCCTGAGAGGTCGAGGCTGCAGTGAGCTATGATCATGGTACTGCACTCCAACCTGGGTGATAAGAGCAAAACTCCATCTAAAAAAAAAAAAAAAAAAAGGCATACCTGAGACTGAGTACTTTATAAAGGAAAGAGTTTAATGGACTCACAGTTCCACACATCTGGGTAGGCCCTACAATCCTGGCTGAAGGCAAATGAGGGGCAAAGTCTTGTCTTACATGGTGGCAGGCAAAGAGCTTGTGCAGGGGAACTCCCCTTTATAAAACCATCAGATCTCATGAGACTTACTATCACAAGAACAGCATGGGAAAGATCCCCACACACACACACCATGATTCAGTTGCCTCGCACCAGATCCCTCCCATGACACATGGGTATTATGGGAACTACAATTCAAGATGAGATTTGGGTGGGGACAGAGCCAAACCGTATGACGGGGTGAGTTAGGTCATGGGACTTACCCTAACAGCCCTCCATCTACCAGGGGATTACAGCGAATTACTTGGCACTGAAGTGGTCTCTGCAAGGGTTTTCTTAGAGAAAAAAATCAAGGTTTCTCCCCATACGCCCCCACCAGGATTTGTCTGGGAGGCTGACTTAGAGAACGTGCTGCCTGTCAGTCATGCTGCTTGTGAACTAGCTTCTCCTCTACGGCCTCTGCAGCAGGTCCTTAAGGAATGAAAGATCTTCATGTAATAGAAGAGCTTGGACCAAACTCAAAATTCATTTTGGGAAAAAAAAGAGAATCTGGGGAGAAAAAAAAGCTCTTTCTGGGGGTGATTTGCAAGAAGCACATGGTCTGAAGAGGCAGCTTGTCCTCTTTTCTAGATGATATAATGGGAATAATAGCAGCTACCACTCACAGCATATTTACGGGGGCCAGACACCACATTGGGCTCTTTAAATACACTCTTTCATCTTAGCCTCACAATAACCTTAGTAAAAGAGATGACAATTATCCTCATTTTGCACAGGAGGAACCTGAGGCTCAGAGGTATAACGAAATAAGACGTCCAAGTCCACCTGCCTAATTGGTGCCGAAACTGCAGGTTAGCCCTAGGTCCGAGGGTGAACAAGTGAATAGACTGTGCGTTCTGCTGTTTCTCAAAACCCTGGAACAAGCAGGGTTGTTGCACTGTCAAGTTTGAAGAGGAAGCCAGCCCAGTGCCTACTGTGGTTAGCCATCCAATTTACCCACAGACGTGATAAGTCGGCTGAATGCCCACACCCAGCTTGGCAAAGGATCACCACTCCACAGATGTTACAACCTCTAGAAGGAAGCTGGAAAGAAGGGCAAGAGGGAGAGCTCACGCTTACTGAGCACTTACATACGTCTGCAACCTTGGTGTTAAGGCATTCCTTCATGACTGGTCCTAGACAAGGTCCATTTGGTTCATTCATTTTTATTCCCATTCATGGAATTCTAACCATATCCCTTGATGGTGTTCACATCTCATTTTGATAGATGTGAAAACTGAGACTCAGAGAGGTTAAGACACCTATCCCAGGATCACAGAAGGCCTCTGTAAGGGTTTTAGCTGGGACGTGACCACCCCCCCATCTCCCTCACTTCCATGACAGTAATTCTTACAATTTTTTTTTTTTTTTGAAACAGAGTCTTACTCTGTTGCCCAGGCTGGAGTACAGTGGTGCCATCTCAGTGCACTGCAGCCTCTGCCGCTGCCTCCCAGGTTTGAGAGATTCTCCTGCCTCAGCTTCCCAAGTAGCTGGGACTACAGGCATGCACCACCACACTGGGCTAATTTTTGTACTTTTAGTAGAGACAGAATTTCACCATGTTGGCCAGGCTGGTCTCGAACTCCTGAGCTCAGGTAATCCACCTGCCTCAGCCTCCCAAAGTGCTGGGATTACAGGCATGAGCCACTGTGCCTGGCCAAATTCTTGTAATTCTTGAAACAGTGCTTCAGGGACACTCAGAGTTCCCCCTCGTGCAGTTTGGGGCTCAGGACAGAGCACATGGTACCTCTACCTTTCCTCAACGCCCACACATTCCAGGTGTCTAAGGATGTCTCCTTTGGCAGGAATTTACACGGCAGTGTGCTAGAGCTGACTCATAACAACTCACAAGAGCCAATTAAGATTTTGAGAATTTTGTGAGCCAGGTGACGTCACGTTGGCATCTTGAAATTGGCCATAGTGAAAGTATTTTGCGCCACAGAAATTTGCAAATGCTACAAACCAGGGCTTTTTTTTTTTTCTTTTAATTTTGCAGAGATCCAGTTGTTAAATATTTCTGAGCATGCCTCTGGACTTCAGAGAAACGGTTCTGGTTCACCGTAAATCCACACATTCATACAATCAATGGCCAAGACCATTACAGCTGGAGAGAGAGGAATAAGGGGGAAATGGGACTGGAGAGAGACCCTCCCAGGCCTTGAGGGCCATGCTAGGCACTTGTCTTTATTTTTTTATCCCCAGCCTCAGTAAATCTATCAAAAAACTTCTCATGCCTATAATCTCAGCACTTTGAGAGATGGAGGCAGGAAGATCGCTTGATCCTGGGAGTTTGAGGCTGCAGTGAGCTATGATTGTGCCACTACATTCCATCCTGGGCAACAGAACTAGACTCTGTCTCTGGGTAGGGTTGGGTGAAGGGAGAAGGCAAGGCACAGTGGCTCACACCTGAAATCCCAACACTTTAGGAGGCCAAGGCAGGAACATACTTGAGGCCAGGAGTTCAAGACCAGCCTGGGAAATATAGTAAGACCCTAACTCTATTTTTTTTATTTTTTAATTAAAAAGAAAAACTCAAGTGAGCAGCCCACCTCAGCCTTCCAAAGTGCTGGGATTACAGGTGTAAGCCAATGCAGTGGTCCAGAGTTCCAGACCAGCCTAGCCAACATGGTGAAACCCCAACTGTACTAGAAATACAAAGAGCCGGGTGTGGTGGCCGATGTCTACAGTTTGAGCTACTCTGGAGGATGAGGCAGGAGAATTGCTTGAACCTGGGAGGAAGAGGTTGCAGTGGGCCGAGATCGTGCCACTGTACTCCAGCCTGGGCAACAGAGCACCACCCTGTCTCGAAAAAACAAAAACCTGCCCACATTTTCAAAGTCTATGAAACTCAATCTTCATTTCCTCATCAGATCCTCCTACAGAACTTCTCTGGGCCTCCTCATTGGAAAAAGAAAGGCAGAAATGGAGATACTAATAACTTCATAGGGTGTGGCTGTAGGAATCAAATGAAGATATACATGAAAAGCAGTTCACTCCATGTCTGGCTTGAGCCAGCCTCAATGAATGGAACTGTTATTTTCCTGCCTCCACAAGCACTCATTCACCCCATTTGCTTTCTTGCTTTCAGTCCTCACACCTTTTACTGAGTTCCAGACGTTCAGCTGGGTACTAAGAACCAACCACGAATAACAGGGACACAATGACCCTGGGAGGAAGGGCTGTTCCCGCCTCCTAATTGCCTGGCTCCAATCATAAATTTATATGCAAATTTTTATCGCATCCTACTAGTGCAAAGCTCTCCTTTTAGCAAAGAGGATACAAAAAATGCTGGCTTGGAATCTGTGGAATGAGACCTCTCTTCCACCATGCACCTCCCCAGGGGAATTTAGGTGCCTGAGGGGACTCTCACCTTCCACTCCTCAACGCTGCTTGTCACTCTGAACTGTACACATTTCCACATTTGTCCCCAACTACACTGAGCTCCTTGAGGGCATGGCCTGTATCTTAACCATCAGTCAAAACTATGCAAAGAAAGCCATCGGTCAGCATGAGCTGAAGGAACCCTAAACCATGCAATGTTACAGGTGGATCAGGAGACCCCCCCCCCCTCTCCAAGTCTCAAACCCACTCGGTTCTCGGGCTGGGATGTCAGATGCCACCCCAACCACCTTCTCCACTGGCACCGAAGTCCGGCTGTTTAGGGAAAGACTCCAGAACCCATGGCTAGGACAGGGGCGCTCCCTCCCTCCTCACCCTTCCCGGACTCACTGAGAAGTTGCCGGCTCGATTCGCTGACTGTCACGTTCTCCAGCCAGAAGGGGTTCATCAGCGGTGTGCACGGGCTGTGGACTGGATGGGACGGAGGAATCCATGGGCGCCGGACCCCGGAGTTCTAGGCGGGGCCCCCGTCCGCGGCTTTTCCCCCATGCTTGCCCTAAGTACCTCACCCGGGGAGGGGTGCGGGGAGCCAGAGCAGCCCCGGCCGCCTTCCCACCTTCCCCCGAGTTCCTAGACACTGTGTTCTAGGGACTTGGGGGAGGAGTGCGCGTCAAGCAACAGGTCCCAGGCGAGCAGGGCACTGCGCAGGGGGCACAAGGTGCGTTCGCAGCCACAGCTCCCAGCCCCGGGGTGCACCCTTACCCCGGCAGGTCCGCCAGAGGCCAGAGTGGGAGCTCAGAGGCTCGGGCTGGCTGCGATTGACGGCCCCCAGCCGGTCCTGTGCCCCCGGGCCGCTCCTCTCCAGTCGCTCTGTGTCAATGATGTACCAGAAGTCCGTGCAGATGGCCGCCGCCAGGAGCACAAAGCTGAGCGCCCCGGTCAGCGCAGCCGCGCCGGCCAGCGCGCCCAGGTGCACCCGCATCGCGGAGCCCAGGACCGCCAGCCGGGGGTTCCTGCGGTGGAGGCGCGAACCGTCAGCGCCTGCCCCCCTCAGCTGGCCACCGTGGGTTCCCAGCTCCACTCCAGAGCCGCCGAGCTCAGGTCTGAAAGCCGGTCCTTAGGACCCCAGGCCCTAGCTCAGACCCTGGCTGCACCCTCAGACCCTCACCTGCGCGCCCTGCTCAGCCCCAGCCCTCGCTCCCAGCCTCCAATGCCAGTTCTACCTGCAGACCCCCTTGCCTGTGCCGTCTGACCTCCACCTCCGCCTTCAGCCCCTCCTGGAAGCCCCAGTCCCTCCCCACCTGCACCTTAACCCACGTCGTTCCTCAGCCCCACTCCACCCTGGGCCCTCCAAGTCCAGCCCGACGCACTCTCTCACTTCAAAATCCTCTTTTTCCCCATATTTCTGCTCCCCCGGTTCCCCTTCCTCACTCTCCACGAACTCTTGCCCAGCTCCCAGATGCTCCCTCTCTGCCTCTGGCTCTAGCTTTCGGCCCCAGCCTTTTTCCCTTGGCCCCACACTGCCAGCTCCCCACTCCCAGCCCTGCGCTCTAGGGTATTCCCGCAGCTCCAGCTCTGGCCGGAGCGCGGTGGTTTGACCCTCTGCGATCTTCTCGCCAAGGACAAGCTCCGAGTGCGCACGCAGCGTGGATGGGGGCGGTCCCCAGCCCTGAAGCGCTGGAGGCTGCGGGTGTGGAAGGGAAGACGGCTTTGGGACCACCTGGGGCAGTAAGAAGGAGGGGCATGGCAGGCCTTCCAGTCTCACAAGGGTTTGCAAATCATCTCCAAGAGCCCCTCCAGCTCCAAGTACCCTCCCTCCAAAATCCACCTTCAAGTGTAGTCTGGGCTGACTAGAATGGGAAAAGGCACATTCGTTTTTCATAAAAGTTCTCTAAGGCACTGAGGTAGTGCAGGTCCTCAGAATGTATCATTTCTATACCCAAAGTCTTTCTTCATTATCATAGCCGCCACCACCAACACCGTGGACGAAACCATCGCCACCACCATCATCATCACCATTATCACCGCCAGCATAACCACCACCACCAACCACCATCATCATCACTACCACGACTAGCACCAGCACCCACTCTCCTCCTTATCATCGTCATCACTCTTACCAATTCCACCGTCTTCTTCACCACATAAAAACTTTTTTTTTTTTTTCAAGAAAAACTTCTGGTACCTTCTGTGTGTCTGATGCTATAGTCTATGTTAAGAATATAGGTAAGAACCATCTAAAAACAAGTCCTGCCCTTATTTCTATATAGGGGGCTGGGTACAGTGGTTCGTGCCTGTAATCCCAGGACTTTGGGAGGCCGAGGCAGGCAGATCACCTGAGGTCAGGAGTTCAAGACCAGCCTGACCAACATAGAGAAACCCCATCTCTACTAAAAATACAAAATTAGCCAGGTGTGGTGGCACATGCCTGTAATCCTAGCTACTCAGGGGGGCTGGGAGAATCATTTGAACCCAGGAGGCAGAGGCTATCATGAGCCAAGATCATGCCAATGCACTCCAGCCTGGGTCACAAGAGTGAAACTCTGTCTCAAAAAAAAAATTTTGCTGTTGTTTTTAAAAAAATATAGGGTTCAGTCTTCCCAGCCTGTTACAAAGCAAGGGACACAGAGAAAATACCTATATGTGTATGGCCCCTAAATAGAAGAGGCTTCCAGATACTGGGGATGACCAATCCTCAGGAGTCACAGCTACTACAGGACCCTTGAGGCTGACCTTCTTGCTGAGGAATCAAAATCTTGCCACTCCTGTGATCCATCCTTAAGGAACCATTGTGTCAAGGTCCAAAAGTTGATAAGTGCTGGTCAGGTTGGGAAGAGGACCATCAAAGTGTGCTTAAGACAGGGTGCTATGAGAGAAAGTACCAGAGGGGAGATCTCATTGGGCTTCTCTGAGGAAGTGACATTGACGCTGAGACATGAAGGTTGTAAAAGTATCCATGTCTAGAGGATGGCTTATATGAGGGGTTTGGTACATTCTAGAGAAATCAAAGGAAGGGCAACCAGGCTAGAATGTAGTAAGGGAAGAGAAAGTAGAGGGAAATGAGACTGAGGGTAGAAGAATTGGTCAGGTTATGCAGGTCTTGAGATTCATGATAAAGAGTTTCAATTTTAGTCCAAACCACTAAACCATTTCCAGCAGGAGAGTAAAATGGTCTAACTGACACATTAGAAAATCTCACTCTGCTTGCTGTCGTGTGGAATATAGAATTTAGAGAGACAAGAAAGGGAGCAAGAAGGCGAGTTAGCAGAACATTGTAGAAGCAGCAAGATCCTGCTGTCGGGCTAGGCTGGGGGCAGCAGTGAGCAGGGAGTGAATGGACAGAGTTTTGAAAAGTTGAGGGAAGGCCGGGCACGCTGGCTCAAGTCTGTAATCCCAGCACTTTGGGAGGCTGAGGCGGGTGGATCACGAGGTCAAGAGATCGAGACCATCCTGGTCAACATGGTGAAACCCCGTCTCTACTAAATGTACAAAAAAATTAGCTGGGCATGGTGGCACGTGCCTGTAATCCCAGCTACTCAGGAGGCTGAGGCAGGAGAATTGCCTGAACCCAGGAGGCAAAGGTTGCGGTGAGCTGAGATCGCGCCATTGCACTCCAGCCTGGGTAACAAGAGCGAAACTCCGTCTCAAAAAAAAAAAAAAAAAACAAGTTGAGGGAGTTGAATTGATAGCGCTTGATGATAGACTACGGTTGAGAATTATCCTTTTCCTTGTTACTTTATTTTTCCTTGCCAATACCACCTCAGTCTACATCACTGTCATCTTCATTATCAAGGGCATCAGCACCCTGGCAGAGTCATCACCAGCAAGAATATACTCTCACTTAATTCTGCAGACCATTCTGTTTCATCACCCCTCCACCACTACCTTGGTACATACAGATCGTTTCCAAAACTATCGCCACTGATAATTTTGCTGTCAACCCCATCGCAGTACTGCTATTATCTTCATTTCCAGCAACATCAAAAGAGTCCTCACCATCAGCTTGAGAGCTGCAGGTAAAATTCAATTGAGGCTGATCCCAGGAGCCCTAACAGTGTCTCTGAGGTTCAATCTCTTTTCTCTTTCTTTATTTCTTGCCATCTGTCAGTTGTTTTCCTGTTGCTTGACTTCACTTTTCGAGCAGGCTCTCATTCATTCAATCACAGGAGCCAGTTTCACAGCTTAGCAACTCCAAGAAAAAGAAACAGTCTCTCAGTAGTGCCAGAGCTCCAAATTAAATCTCATCGGCCTGTCTTTAGTCATGTGCTCATCTCTGAATCAATCTCTTTCATTCAAAAGGACCAAATATGCTAATTGGCCAAGCTCGGTCACCTGTCTACTCCTGGAGCCAGAGCAGGAGAAGCCAGTTTCACCCTAAATATTTGAGCTGAACCGTGATAGCAAAGATATAGAATAAACCTTAATACCCATCAGTGGTAGATTGGATGAAGAAAATGTGGTACACTGCACCATGGAATACTATGCAGCCATAAAAAAGAAGATTGTGTCCTTTGCAGGAACATGATGGAGCTGGAGCCATTATCTTCAGCAAATTAACACAGGAAAGGAAAACCAAATATTGTGTGTTTTTACAAGTGGGAGCTAAGAACACATGGACACATAGAAGGGAACGACAGACGCTGGGGCGTACCTGAAGGTGGAGAGTTGCGGGAGAGAGAGGATTAGAATAAAAAACTAATAGATACTAGGCTTAATACATGGGTGACGAAATGCTCCGTATAACAAACCCCTGTAACACGAGTTTACCTATATTAGAAACCTACTCTTGAAGTTAAAGGTTTTTAAAAGCGATTTGAGCTGAAAGGTGTTTTGATTGCTAAACGGCAAATAAAAATATAGGAAATCTAGTTACATTTGAATTGTAAATGAATGGTGAATAATCTTTCAGTGTATAACCCATGCAATACTTGAGGTACACTAGAAAAACTTCATGTTGTTTATCTGAAGTTAAAATTTAACCAGATATCTTCGATTGTCTCCAGCAAGCCTAGCTGGCTCCCCAAAGAAAAAACAAGGTGCCATTATCCCCAAGAGAATGGGCAACGGCAGGCCAAAGCAGCAAATGCCCCTACACCCAGCATGGGTGTGTCCCTTCACTGGGTCCCGCTTCCCTGATCTACATAAGGAGACCTTCTTCCAGGCTCCTAGGCAAAGATAACCTTACAGGTTTTGAAATTGTATTTTTCCTGAGGGTTTTAATGTACTCCATCTGAATCATGCTTAATCACTCTAAAAGGAACAGAAAGTTGTTGTTTTTTTGTTTGTTTGTTTTTTAATGATTCTAGGGAGGAGAGGAGCACATCAAACATCATGTAATATCATTACTTAGCCAGTCAGCTGAAGAGGCATGATAAAATCTGAACACTCCCAAGGCCAGATGCAAACAAGCCATGGCGTTTCAGATTAAGGTTACCCCAGGCACCATGCCAGCTCTGTACAGCATGGGGGAGCGCAACATTCAGCAGGAATTGCAGAGGGTGGTTTTCAGTCTTCCATCAGCATCCAACAGGCCATCTGAGCCCAGAGAAGTTGTCTTGCTTCTTTGAGCCTCAGATTCCTCAGCTGTAAAATGGGGTCACTCATATCTACTGTGTTGATCCATTTTGCATTTTATAAAAAACACTTCAGACTGGATAATTTACGAAGAAAAGAGATTTATTTGGCTCACAGATTTCTTTGGCTGTACAAGCATAGCTCCAGCATCTGCTGGGCTTCTGGTGAGGCCTCAGGGAGCTTTTGCTCATGGCAGAAGGTGATTTGGGAGCAGATGTGTCACAGGGCATGAGAGGGAGCAACAGAGAGAGAGGAGGAGGTGCCAGGCTTTTAAACAACCAGCTCTTCCATGAACTAACAGGGTAAGAACTCACTGATCGCTAAGAGTAGGGCACCATTTTCCATGACCCAAACACGTCCCACTGGGCCCTATCTACAATGCTGAGGATTTCCACTTGAGATTTGGAGGAGACAAATATCCAAACTATATTACTGACCAATTCCACAGGGCCGACATGAAGATGGGATGAAATGATGGATGTAAAAGTCATTTGTATGTGTGAAGAGTCATGCCAATGTTGTTATTAAAATAAGTAGAATGCTGGACATGGTTGCTCATGCCTGCAATCCCAGCACTTTGGGAAGCCGAGGTGGGTGGATCTCTTGAGATCAGGAGTTCAAGACCAGCCTGGCAAACATGATGAAACCCTGTCTCTACTAAAATTACAGAAATGAGCCAGACGTGGTGGCCTGCACCTGTAATCACAGCTACTCAAAATGCTGAGGCGTGAGGATCGCTTGAACCCAGGAAGCAGAGGTTTCAGTGAGCTTAGATCATGCCGCTGACTCCACCCTGGGTGACAGAATGAGACTCCATCTCAAAAAATAAATTAAATAAATAAATAATTAATAAATAAATAAAATAAGTGGAAAGCAGCCAGGTGCAGTGGCTCA